GGAAAGATGAAACTCATGTGGAATTATTGTCAGGTAGTGTATATTCAAGTTTGTTCAAATCATGTCCCCTGGGGGTAGGGTGGGGCCACAATGGACAATCAAAGTTTTACATAGGAAAATATTGGAAAAATCTTCTCAAGAACAGCAAAGCTATAATTGGTCATATTTATATGGAAGCATCCTCAGGTGGTGTAGATTCAAGTTTGTTCAAATCATGACCCCCAGGGGTAGGGTGGGGCCACAATTGACAATTAAAGTTTAATGTAGGAGTACATAGGAAAAATCTTCAAAAATCTCCTTCTCAAGAACAGCAAAGCCATGATTGGTCAAATTTATATGGAAGCATCTGCAGGTGGTGTAGATTCAAATATGTTCAAATCATGACCCATGGGGGTAGGGTGGGGCCACAATGAACGATCAAAGTTTTCATAGAGTATATAGGAAAATCTTCAAAAATCTTCTTCTCAAGAACAGCAAAGCTATGATTGGTCATATTTATTTGGAAGCATCCTCAGGTGGTGTAGATTAAAGTTTGTTCAAATCATGATGACTCCCGGGGGTAGGGTGGGGCCACAATGGACAATCAAAGTTTTACATAGGAATATATTGGAAAATCTTCAAAAATCTTCTTCTCAAGAACAGCATAGATATGATTGCTCATATTTATATGGAAGCATCCTCAGGTGGTATAGATTCAAATTTGTTAAAATCATGACCCCCAGTGGTAGAGTGGGGCCAAAATGGACAATCAAAATTATCATAGGTGTACATAGGAAAAATCTTCTTCTCGAGAACAGCAAAGCTATGACTGGTCATATTTATGTGGAAGCATCCTCAGGTGGTGTAGATTCAAGTTTGTTCAAATCATGACTCCAGGGGTAGGGTGGGGCCACAATGAACGATCAAAGTTTTACATAGGAATATATATGAAAAATCTTTAAAAATCTGCTCAAGAACAGAAAAGTCACGGTTTGTCATATTTATATGGAAGCATCCTCAGATAGTTTAGATTCAAGTTTGTTCAAATCATGACCTCCAGGGGTAGGGTGGGGCCACAATGAAAGTTCAAACTTGTAGAGTAAAAAGTCACAGTCAAAAAATTATATAAGCATCCTTAGTAAGTGTAGATTTAATTTTGTTCAAATCATACCCCCCACTCCCTTTTAGGGGTAGGTTGGGACCACTTATGCATTTAAGCTTTTCAATACTAAACTGATTTTTCCTTTTTTCCTAGCCAGTGCTCAGGTGAGCCATGTATCCCCTTAGCCTCTTGTTATGTACAGCTTCTATCTTGAAACTACTGATTAACTTTCAACAGTCGTTCTTTTTATTATTTAGAGACTCCTTTACATTAAAATGCACTTGTCCAATCGGACAAGTGTCCAGCAATATTCACTTGTCCGTTATTTTTTTTCACTGGTACCGGACATGTGGACAAGCGTTAATGTCAAGCCCTGATTGGTTATTTATCATAGTTATGTACATTCTATATGCAAAAGGAAGTTAATATAATAAGTAAATGGCATTATTTTTGTTTTAAATATTGCAATACATATATCGCAATACAGTTTAAAATATGGCAATATATCACAATACGAAATCTCTAGCCAATACACAGCCCTATCTAGATCAAACATCCAACTGTGGATTCCTGTTAATGTGATTTATGTCTACGTTACTAGGGGTGAAACGATACACCTCCTTCACGGTTCGATACGTATTGTATAATTTTGTCTCGGTTCGGTTATTTTTGATACGATACATTTTGATAGAAGGAAACAAATTCAACATTGTTTTATGCTTTCTTTTTCTAAATCCAGTCACATATTTTGCGAATTTTATTTGCAAATTGACTAGAAGAAATTGAATAAAATTATTTGACTGTCAAAAATTATTTTACAAGCTATCAGTCATCAAAATTTTACGTTTTCTATACTTATTTATACTGAGTAACGTGTTTTACCTTATGGCAAACCAGACTGAATAACGATCCCGACCGAAAAATGAACCGAACTGAAAATTAGAGATTTTGCACCGTGTATCAAACCGAGAAAAAATACCGCGGTGAATCGATACCGCGGTGAACCGTTTCACTCCTATACGTTACTTTTTCCACAAAATCAAGTACAGTCAAACCTCGTTATCTCAAACTTGGTTGAGCCAAAAAAAGACTTTCGAGATATCTGAGGGTTTGAGATATTGAGGGTAAATCACATCAGCATATCCATGGTATTTGACCAAAATGGTGTCAGACCCCATGTGAAAGTAACCTGATGTTTGGAAAATGTTTGAGTTACCAGTGTATGAAAGAATTTGTGTTAAAAATACAAAAAACACAATGTATTTGCAACTTTCGAGACATTCAAAGTATAATGGAAATACTACTAATATGCAGACCATCATTGTCTGGTATCAATCATCCACCCATTTCATCTTCACCTTGTAGCATGAGATTGACTTGTGTTTATAGTAACACTGACAGTGAGAACCATAAAGTTGAGGTTGATTATATTAAATAATCTCATCCATGAACATTAAGTGGACAATTACACCTTATAAAATTATAGTTATCAAAGTATTTCATTGACTTTCAGAGGGAAAGAGCATTGAACAGAAATGTTGGAATTTTTTTAGCTAAGGCCTTGAGGCCACTGTCCATCATAGTAACAAGCATTTCGTGAATTCATTATAGAGTTTGATTTAATATATTCTTTGCCTACTAGAAAACTTTTCATATAAAATTATCTCAATGTTTGTTTTTTAGCTCACCTGAGCTGAAGGTTCAAGTGAGCTTCAAATAAATTGACAAATAACTCTTCCACTCTTATTTTTGCTTGGGAAATTTGTACTGTCAACATAACCAGTATTGTAGTCAACTGTATTAGAGAAATGAAGTTTGTTTACGGTGTTTTTTGTCCTTTTTATCGGTTGGTGGATCTAACATTTTTCAAAGAGAGGTAACTCGGTATTCTAGAAACACTCTAAATTTTCATGACTGTTTTTCATCATTTTCTTAAAAATGACGAGTTTTAGTCATAATAAAATTTTATTTTATGACTAAAAATCGTCATTTTAAAAATGATGGATTTCAGTCTCACCCCTAACTGTTGAGCAGTGAGGGATCTTTTTCGTGCCAGCACCTAATGCGACATGGGACCTGTTTATATGGAGTCATTCCAAGGACTGGTCTCCATGTCCTGCAGGGTTCTCTAATTATAGGATCTATTGCTTTGGCTTGATCCTTACATCGCAGGTTCGAATCCCACTGCAGGACGTGGAGACTGGTCCTTCGGATAAGACCGTATAAACTGAGGTCCCGTGTCACAGTAGGCGCTGGCACAAAAAAGATCCCTCACTGCTCAATGGCCCGGAGTGCCAAGCATAGGTTAAAATTTGCAGCCTTCCACCGGCAAGTGGTGGAGTCTCCATGTGAGTGAAAAATCTCAAGAGGGACGTTAAACAATAAACAATCAAACAGTACTGTGTGAAACCTGACCTGTTGTTGGCAAAACTATACACATGTACCTTCTAAAAATTGCTCGTGCATATTGCTTAGCATGTGAATATGATGCGAATAAACCAGTTTTTGAATTAGATTATACCAAAATAAAACACATCTTTCTATAATTTTATTGCATCCATTGGGATGCACATTTATCTAAATCACGTGTCCTGAGCAATTTATGCAGGACACAGGTCAAAATGAATCACTATAGTTAGATGGATGGACAGTAGTGATAGGAATCAGTAAGAATTTCATAATCAATGATCGAATTATTGTATCTAACTAATTATTGATTATAATTGGACATTCAAATTAGTTTATTAAATGGTAAGAATGGGGAAATGACTATTTTCTGCATATGTATTTGTTTATTTCGCTGAAGAAGAATATTGAGAGAGTTCCAAATGTTAACATGGGTTTAAATTTGAAGCAAGGAAAATGAGTTGAATTTTCGTATTTATATGGATTATTTTATAGATTAAAAGGCATATACAATCTCAAAAGGTTTGTTATGATTAATTTGGTAGCTATTTTCAGTGCAACTCCTTTTGTATTCTTCAAAATCATTTTGGAGCGGATCCACTCCGATTTGCTACATTGCAAGTATATGGGATGCATTCTAACTGTGGTGAGGGCTTGTCCCGAGACACAATTAGATTATTCTTACTAATTCATTACCAAGGAAACATGCCTTTTAATTTTAGTTGATTAATAAGTGAGAGCCAATTATTAAATGATTTTGAAATTTTGAAAATCCTCATTCCTGTGATTTCTAACTTTTCTGACATAACTTCCACCTTAAGCAATTTAAATGAAAATTGATTTGCCACAACTTACATCATTTGGCAATATTTGGAAGTATTACTTGAATTATTTTTACCATATTAACTGATTTCAATGAACAAATGTCAACAACCTGTCACTGACAATTACAATAAGTCTTAATAAGATTACTGTGGTAGTTGGTTTTTAATTAATTTTCAAATCATTCCATTCCATCCATTATTTTTAAATCCATAATACAATGTGATCATAAGCAAATATTTAAATACAGTATATCCAGGCTTTTGGATGTAATCATCCTGCACATAATTTGAGTAATTTGGACTTAAACTGTTTGTCAATTCATTTTACACATAAAATTGAAACAAATAAATAAGTAAACATAGTTATTTTTGAATGTGTGAAATGAGACGATAAAGCTTTCTTGTAGTGTACTTAAAACATTTATATAACAAACTAGTAACCACATTGATGTGTTTTGAGTGAAGTTTTAAGTTTCTATGAATCTCAGGAACATAATTACAAAATGGGTCTATGTAATTTTCTGATTCTGATCTCAGTAGGTCTGTAAGTACATAAATAATATATATAGATCTTAGAGTAATACGAGTATACATGTTTCAGTGAACGTGAAAACATGCAAAAGTCCTCTGTATACATTATCAAATCGCACAAATAAAATTCTATGAGTTGACATAACTAGAATATTTACCCAAAAGTAAGAGTTTCACTTCCCTCGATGCTTTCTCTCCATCCTGCCTCAGCGCCTTGTCGATTTGTTTCGATCTCTCGACAGCCGCTTTGTCATCGGCTGAAACGGCGCACCCCATGTCCAGTAAATCTCACTAAAACAAGTAATTACTCCACCGATAGAAATAAATATCAGTTCTTTCAAAACGATGCTATAATTTCCTTTGTATGAATCATGTGAAGATAAGAACTCGGTAAGGAAAAATAACGTTATTTCCTTGTTGTGTCTCAATGGATGTTCATAGGTGCATCGCCCGTTTTGAAATGGTTACCCGGATGTTTACGCGCACCTGCGCGTATACCAAAAAAGGGGATGTTTCAAAATGAAAAAATGTGGTTGCAAACTATTGATGAATTTCATATCATTTAGATTAAAAAAAAATGATAAAGTATTTTTTTCTCTTCGTTCATTTTTCATACCAGGGACGCTCATACGATCCTTCATACAACTGTACAATGGATACAAAGGAAATCCTTCATACGAGCAGTGATTAGTTTGGTTAGTCTAGGTCACCTACACGTTTGTCGCATCGATAGTCTCACACCAAACCAGTGGGGTCAAACGACTTGCGTGTCCTAGGTTAGACTGGGATAAACAGTTGATAAATTATATCAAAGCAGACGCTTACATAGGTTTCGTATTTTGAGAAAATCTCTATCTCCCAGGAAGTTGCGAAGAACCGGAAGCTAATGTTGACTTCGTCATCGCCATATTGTCAACAAGACGGCTTGCCGCTTTGCTGAGATCATGACCGAGATGTAAATAGGGCTTAAAGGGAAAAGAAATGTAACATTATACCTAATTTCTTTTTAACTATGTCTGCCTTCAGTAATGAACCTCTAAAGGACGGAAACAAGAGTGGGTTTTGGAAAAAGGGAGGCGGGTTTCCTGGAAGGTTGTACTTATAGTCATACTGATCCCTTTTATTCAGGTCGAGCACTCTCTTGATTTAGCTACATGTATATAGTTTGAATTAGCTATTTAGCTTTATTAAGCGATTCCGAATAGCTTGATAAAGCTATTTATATGCAGTTTTTCACGAAAATGTTTTTTTTATTTTTATAAGAAATCGACAAAAAGTCGCAAGTATTTGACTATTCACCAGATCTGGTGAATGGGAGCCAGTCAAGGCGCCCACTAACAAAACAGTCCCGGTCATAGTGCTCCATGATTTTGGTCAAAGAGCCCCCGGATTTTGGTCAAAGCGCCCCGGGATTTTTGTCAAAGAGCCCCCGGATTTTGGTCAAAGCGCCCCCTAAAAAATTTTACAGTAATGTGATGTTACAAAACGGCCCCCAAATATTGGTCAAAGTGTCCCCAAATATAAATTTAGCTGGGCAACGGTATCATTCTTTTTTGGGGTGGGTGCTTTTTTTTTAATTAAATGATACATGTACCGGCGAACATTCTCAAAAATTTCTTGTAAGATAAAAGCATTTTTGTTCTACATTAAAATAAATCAAACAAACAAAAGTCAACCATAATTTGGAAACATTTCTGAGAGATTATTGAGAAGGCCTCCACGTGGCAAGAGTTGGGCAACGGTATCAATTTTTTTTTTTTTAGGGGGGAGGGGGATAATTAAATGATACAGGCAAACATTCTCATTTCTCTGGAAATGTTTTCTGTAAGATTATTCAAACTTAATATTAATCTATTAAATATTTCATGGGTCACGCTAAACCAACAAGAGAACTAAATAGCATAAATTAGTAAAGAGACCAAATTTAGGGGGCTTTTTGCAAATGAACATTCTATAAATATATCTAAGGGGCACTTTGACCAAAATAATGGGGTGCTTTGACCAAAATCAGGGGGTAACCATTGCTTGGTGATGGTTTCTAAACGGAGATTTTCTCTAAAATTATATTGGGGGCGCTTTGACGAAAATCAGGAGGTGATTTGACCAAAATCAGCTGGGGGCGCTTTGACCAACATTTGGGGGCGATTTTGTATCATCATTTTACTGTAAAATTTCTTTAGGGGGCGCTTTGACCAAAATCAGGGGGCTCTTTGACCAAAATCATGGGGCGCTTTGACCGGGACGGTTTTGTTAGGGGGGCACATTGACTGGATTTCGGTAATTCACTACCGTAGCTTAATTGGGTACTTCAGGTAGTTTTATTTAGCTATTTCAATGCAGCTTTTCACAATTTTGATTCTTATATAAAAAAGACCAAAAATTGCAAGTATATGACAGGGTTCGAAATTAACTTTTGTAAGCACGAACTAGTCCACACGGACTAGTGACTTCCAATTTTCACTAGTCCATAAAGCATTTGACTAGTCCGCCCTTTGTCGTATGATAGTGAAATCATTGTTGACGTCCCTACTCTGTGACTTTAAACCCTCACCCCACCCCACAACCTTATGAGATAAAATTTAAAATTTTGGAATACAAAATTTGAATTCGAATTCATCTCTAGCTACAAAAAAAAATATTAATAATAAATTTGCGAAGTATCAAACATAAATATTTTTTTAAAATTACATCATGATAAAAAAGTTACTTGAACTTAGGAGTGATGTACTTTTTAGCTCACGTGAGCCGAAGACTCGAGTAAGCTTTTCTGATTGAAATTTGTGTGTTGTCTTTCGTTGTTGTTGTTGTCGTTAACTTTTCACAATTAAGTCTTCTCCAGAACCACTGGGCCAATTTCAACCAAACTTGGCACAGAGTATCCTTGGGTGAAGGGGATTCAAGTTTGTTCAAATGATGGGACACACCATCTTCCAAGGGGATATAATTACAAATTAATGAAAAATTAATGGCATCTTTTAAAAATCTTCTCAAGATCCACTGGGCCAGGAAAGATGAAACTCATGTGGAATCATCCTCAGGTAGTGTAGATTTAAGTTTGTACAAATCATGACCCCCTAGTTAAGGGCAGGACCACAAGGAACAATCAACCTTTTATTTAGGAGTATGCAAGAAAAATCTTCTCAAGAACAGCAAGGCCATGATTGAGCATATTTGTATGGATTATAGGCTTGAGTATCATGGGTATTGTCACAATAAGATACGTATCATGACACTACTATTGAATATACAATGTAAAGCAGAAAATTGTTTCTTTTGTTCTGTATAATGACATAAATAAAGTATAACAGTATAACATCATGTGTATAATAGCAATTTAGTGTATATTTTGGAAAAGAACACTTTGGAAATAAATATTATTTTAATAATAATAATAATAAGAAAAATAACTTGTGTTCATCAGGGATGGGGTCGTGTTGCACAGTATGGCATTACAGCCTCACATAACCGACAAACTACCTTCTTATTATCTGACTTAAGGAAGCCGAAAGATTTGCAGACATCAGATTTGAATGCCGAATGCCGCTGGAGCATTTATAATGCCGATTCCTTCTAGGGCTTCATCTCCTTCCACCACGCTCGTTTCAGATGCTATTCTGTTTTGATTTTTTAAAAATTTTATTGTAAAGTTAAAAAAACCACTTCCGGTATCACAATTCCGGAATGATGATAGGATACATGTATCATTGAGACACACAATCAATACAATTGATATATCACTGTATCGTTACAACTCTAATATGGATGCATCCTACAAAGTATCTCAAGGAGACACAATTTGATGAGCGATTTTTACATGCACTGTTTTTAGAAGAGTTCAAGGTTGAATACTATCACTGCACCAAGGTGCGACTTTTTGTGCATGCTTCAAAAAAATAAAACCGCTGGAGCATTTATAATGCCGATTCCTTCTACGGCTTCATCCCCTTCAGTGTTTTCCCCAGAAAACTTTCAATGCATGGGGGGAATTTTGCTGAATTGACGGCGCGCGGCGTGTCTTGTTGAGTTACTTGTGCATGTATTTGAATTTATATTTAAATGAAAAATACAAATTCATTCATTTAATATATTTTTTTTTTAATTTAAATGATATATTTTGAAAATATTGTCAATTTAACTTTTAAAAAAGCTAAACAATTGAGTTCTCTTTTATAAAAATAGATCTGATCACAAAAAATTGTTCTATTTTATATTCCTCTAAAGCCACTGTCTTTTTATCATGTTTATGTGCCGTGTTATTCTTGCTTTCTACAAACTGAATAGGCCCCTAGTGACCCCCCCCCCCTTTTTTATTTACTAGACTACATTTTTTTTTCTTTTGAATGTCCCTACTTTTACAGTCATTTTTAAACAAAAAGGGTGCACATTATGTAACAACATTGCTTACATTTAAATATTGTGACAACATATTAAGTACATTGGTGTCTGATTTTTTTTTATTCAACGTAAGCAGTCTGGTCGAACCCCCAAACGGGGGTAACCGGAAAAAGGAAAACCATACCCCCAATCGGGGGTACGAGCATGCGCAGATGCTTAAAAATGTGCGTATTTCACGCAAAAAGTAGGGGTTTACAAAAATCGCCGGTGCAAAGTAACGGATTATTTGGCAAATGTAAATCCACTCGGAAATGATAGATTAAAGGTGCTTTTAGAGTTTGTATTTTACAAAAATACAACTTTATTGTACAAATATGGATTTATTCACTGGCAAAGTTGGCGATCTTTTGCTCCTTGACATGCAGGTATTCAAGATAAAATATTCAATAAACAGACAAAAGCAACTAATATTAAATTGAAATTATAAAAAAAAAATGTATTATTCTACCTTATATCTTTTATTTTCATAATAAAATACAAGAAAAAACGGTGCTAATATCGATTTATATATGATCGTGGGTTTCAGTCCGCGTTTCCTCTGACTAGCAATCAACGGTCTTTATTATCGATAATCATGACCAGAAAGTGTAACAAAAATACATATAAAAATAAAATTCAAATGAAAAATATCGTAGTTATAGTCTTTTATATCTTATAAGAATTAAATAAAATGTTTGGCAACTTGTTGTTGTAGTTTTTTTTTTTTTTTAGTAAATGCGATTGTTTGGGGAAAACACGATTATTTTTAATTTTATTTAAATCTAGATTCTAAATTAACATTTTCCTCATTCTTAGAATATTTTTCCTTGTGTTTTAAATTCCATAATCCTAATTGAGACGTCCTACAAAATAATAAATAATTTCAAGAAATGACGGAAAATATTCTGTTATTCCTACATTATAAATTCAAACTATGGAAAATTTAATCTGTTAATTTTTTTCTGTTGACGTTTTACCAAGTTCATAGCAGAAATAACATTATTATCGATCTTTTTCCTAAGATAGATGATATAGGCAAGTTTGTTTATATTGGATACGGCAAGAGTTACTGTTCTTGCGCATTGCATGACGGGACGGAAAACCCTCGTTTGGGGGTATACCCCCGTTCGGGGGTTCGACCAGACTGGTAAGCTGTTGAATGTAGGTCAAGCATGTGCTCTTGCACGAAGTATTTGCCCATAGTTCATAGAGTAAATAAATAATGATAATATTTATTGGACATGTTTATTTTGAGCATATTTATTCTAAAAAAAAATGGCTTTAAAATTATGTGTTTAACTAATGAATCATTTTTGATGTCGGAACATCAATGCTATTTATAGAATGACCTGTGGATGTTGGAAAAACCCACATGTGCATATAACAAGTGTATATTACTTTCACCGTGTGTACTATCTTTCACCAATTAATAAATTTTTCATGTTTATAAATATTTTTATTCAAATAAAAGCTTAATACTTAGTAACATATCAGTAAATTGCAATAAACATAAATAGAGAACTATTGCATCATACCACGTACCGCGATTCGCATCCAGTTCACCACAGGTGCGCAACATGTGTACAGTACACGCTGTGATTCTAGTGAATTGAATTGTTTTATTGAAAGATTAATAACTGATAACAATTTCAATGTATATCTTCTTCTTAAAATAGTCTGCCTTTAATAATTCATGCATAGCGGGAAGCATAGCGGCAATGTGTGATGCCTGGCTGGGGATCGTGAATGCATGGCGGTACCGCCATGCAAAAACGGTCTGGGGAAAACACTGCCCTTCCACCACGCTTGTTTCAGATGCTATTCTATTTTGATTTTTTAAAAATTTTATTGTAAAGTTAAAAAACCACTTCCGGTATCACGATTCCGGAATGACGATAGGATACACGTATCGTTGAGACACACGATCGATATTGTAATATCTATATTTTAAAGTTACAAATTATTACCTTATGTTCTTATGCAAATTATTAGTACTATTTTTATGTATGTAATGATAACCGAATTACTCTCTATTTTCCCGCACTTTTACCATGTGATGCTTGGGTGTACTAATATCTGACTACTGATGACCATGCAGTCTCCATTAAACAGTGAACCACACAACACGTGTTTTCATTTCAATATCCTTTGAAACAAGGATAACATAGATATATCACTGTATCGTTACAACTCAAATATGGAAGCATCCTACAAAGTATCTCAAGGAGACAAAATTTGACATGCACTGTTTTTAGAAGAGTTCAAGGTTGAATACTATCACTGCACCAAAAAATCACTGTCAAATTGGAAGTTATTTTTTCAATAAATGACTTTGACATATAAATGACTTTTGGATACATTCTTGAATATTGGTATGTATTGATATATTGACACACCCCTTATAGCTAAATCAAGAGATTGTGCCAGTGTGCCAGACCTGTTTTTATATATATATATATATATATATGCAAAGTTATTGTTCCTTAATTAAATACAGCAGTATATTACCAGTCATATCAAAAACAAAAGTAGCATAAACCTGAGAAAAATCCACTTTGTCAAATTGTTTTTTTTTTCTGTTAGAAAGTGTTCCACATTAGGCACTTAAATTTAATAGTGACTTTGCTTTGTTGACCTAAAATAAGGCTAACTGATTTTTTATGTCTTGTAGCATAAAGCCAGTATATGGAGCTCAGCATCCTCCCCTTCAAGTGATGCCAAAGGGGTAAGCTTAATTATTATATATGAAAATCTACAAGAGGAAGACAGGTGAGGTAACTCAGCATGTAATGTCTTGTGGCAGTCAGGCAGGCTCAATTCCTGGTGGCCAGATAGCTCAATTGGTAGAGCACATGACTAGTGATTCAGGGGGCCCAAGTTTGAATCCTGGTTTGGCCTGTTGTATTTTCTCTCCTAGCCAGTTACAATCTAATCCTCATGTAAGACTGTCCCAGCATACCATTAATCTTGTCATTGGCCATTTGCAAAATTATTTTCTTAAAAAACATTCTGATTGTACACACAAGTACTCTAAAGTTAATATTAAGAAGATGCTCGAGTTTCTGATTGACAATATCTATGTGGTTTTTGGAGACCAGGTCTTCCAACAATCTATTGGAATCAGGAATTCACCTGACCCCACCTCTGATGTTTTAGAGGTCCGTGTTTGCTCTGCTCCAAAATTCGTATTGTTTAATGGACCTTTGAGCTTGAATACTGTTCGTTATCTCCATTTCATAAATGCGACAGTCCTTAATTCCATACATTTCCTGTAATTCATCTTTTATTGTCAGTTGTACCTGTCAGTCAATATACTTGAGTGTTTACCACACACTTGCCTGCATTAAATAAGCTTCATGTTATAGGTGCATCAGATGACCTGTAATAGAGAGGCTTTTACATTTTTTTTTTTACTATTTTAATCTTTAAATGATTTTTTCAACGTAAGTTTCTCAGTTTTGAAGTATGCATCCCAAAGCGTGTTTAATTGTTTTTACTCTAGAAAAGAGGAACGTTCAAAAATGAGCAACAAGAGAGATGCTTTCCAAGACTTTGAGAACAACACATCAGATGCTTGGGATGATGGAGATGATGATCTGCTTATTATGGCAAATATTCAGATGTCACTACGTGATGTACGATCCACAGCACAAGCTGTCATGGAAAATCATAGCAAGCAGTTTAGTGCTCAAAACCAGCAGTCTTCTTCAAATGCTATCAAAGGTTAGAATGATAACAAGAGGTTCAATGTTAATGAAAAATCAAATTGTTATTTAGATGTACAGTCAAACCTGTTTTAAGAGGTCACCTTTGTGAAGTTTGGAAAGAGGCCACTAAAGACAGGTGGCCTCTTATTCCAGTTTGTCCTTGATATAGCCAGTCAATCAATAAACAAATAACATTTAACACTAAAGTTAAATGATTTAATTATCAGAGAATAAAAAAAGATCATTTTCCTTTTAATATTTATGCATACTACTTCATGTGTATTATCACTTAATCTTTCTCAAAGAATTCTATAAAGGTTTTGCACTTGTTTCTGTTCATACAAGTCAGTTAAAAAGTCACGTTTATCAGAGAGAAAAGCTGATGTTATACTGAAATTGAACAAACTCTTTTAATTGTCACTTAAAGATATGTATGTGCTTCACTATGGTAAATTTGCAAGTTCTTCTTTTTTAGACCCCTCCCCCCTCCCCTCAACACACACACACATAAAAGACAGTAGGAGAGGAAACATAAAAAGACAAATATTTCATCCAGAATATGTCATGAAACTCCCCCTTAAATATTATATTTCATCATGTTCAAGCAATGATCAGCACAGAGTGTGGTAAATTCCTCCCCTCAACAGTCTTGTTTAATCTGCAGTTTACTTACTTAATAAATTACTAAAGTAATGCCCTGTTCACACGAATGTGTATTAAATATCTAATTTGCAGTAAATTTATGCCCAGTAAAATAATTCGAATTAATAAACTAATGCGCATAAAAATTTTATATCTACAGTAAAGCTTTTCGGTAAGGCTGTTATGATGTCATTTTCAAATCACGTCACCTTATGCAGAGCAGATCAATTTGACATAATGTCATAGTGTCTCTGTACTTTCTCAAAGATTAAGGATATATGCTCCTCAGCCAGGAAGGATTACTCTTTAATTTATTATTTAATTCAAAAAAGTTTCAAAATGAAGCTTGAAATCTTTTCTTGCAACAATTTTCATTTCACGCATCTCAATGTGATTAATGGTTCTTTGAAGTCTTAGAAACAGCCTTCTAAAAAGTTGACATTACAAATAAAAGTATTTTAAAAGTACACAAAAGTATTTAAAAAGGTTCAATATTTAAAGAAATTCAATTTCCTTTAATCTAGCCTTAGATATCAATGTTTATTGGAATGATGTGAAATTTTAAGTGATTTATGGTGTTTTGCAATGATAGGAAATGCATTATATACTATGAATTGTAAAATAATTGAAGTAAATAAAAGAAACTAAAAATCATGCAACTTTCTTCAAATGCCTGGATACCTATTGTTTTTTTATCCTTAAAAAATATATGTTGCTCAATTTTCAGTTTGAAAATTATAAGTTAGTGTTTTCTGAAAATTTGAGATTTACTGATTTTCCCTGTATAATATGATTAACTTTAATGATGAAATTTGAAGAATTATTGTGGGTAAATACACATTACTTTGAGAATTCAGAGACATTTTTTGTGAGCATTTTCAATTATTAAGGTCTGATTTTCAGAACCTGAGGATCAGACTCCCTTAACATATTTTCTCTTTGTTTTTCCCTCAAAAATAGTACAAGTACCTATATCTGACCACTGACATGTGGCATGTGACTTAATTAGCCATTACACATCTGTCAGAATTTAATTCAAATTAGCTTTGCTTAGCTAATGGAGCTAATGTGAATTAATTTGATACACAGTAAATTAATTCAAATCAAAGTAATTCGTATCAAATTCTCTGTGTGAACATGGTTCAAATTTAATTTGCAGTAACTTACATATAATTCGAATAAAAATTGTGAACAGGGTATCAGTTTAATTTTTTTATAAAACCATTAAAAGTTTTAATAGAAAAGGCACACATAAAGTTGACCAAAGAGGTGTTACGCAGATTGATATTTTGCAAATATATGCAGTAGAGCATAACTGTCTATCAATCGTCTTCTGATGGTGTAATTCTGGAGATTATCTAGGCACATTGTGTATGTTGTATATACAAAAGCAGCAATAAGGTTTCTACATAGAATCAAAATTTAATACCCAGTAGGTGTGAAAATATCAGTTGTCAGCTTAGGTATGCCTCAATGTGAACATTGTAAGTAGTGATGAATGAAAATCCTTAAATTACAAAAAGCTAGGCTTTAAGAATTATTTTCTTTAGAAATGAGAAAAAGTGTTTATTAATCATGGAAAAATTATTTTTTTATTTTCAAATTTCAATAGACCATGTTAAAAATAATTACATGTAATTTTATAAAGTGGGTAATGGTCTAACAGAACATATTATTTTTTATTAACACAATCAACAATAAAAATTGAGTTCAGCGTATCTAATTTGTTAATTGATTTAAGGGGGGACCTATGTCCGAAAACTCTTTGTGTGAAATTTTTGAAACTTTGATATTCTCTTTATTTTCACTTGCTTATAAATATTAGTTAATAAAAAATATACCTTCATATGTTAATTTTCACGCCACAGCATGTGCAAGAACAGACTGTTCTAGTCTAAAATGCAAAGAAACTATTGATTTTTAGACAGAATCAATTTTACTAAAAATGCATTAAAACTAAGCCAAAATGATAAAAGAATTCTTTTATCATTTTGGCTTAGTTTTAATGCATTTTTAGTAAAATCTTAAATCAATATTTATTAAAATCAGCAGACTTATAGATTTAAAATGATAGCAATCTTACTGGAATTAATGCAGCACAAATATTTTTTTTTCTCGAGCACAACATTAGTATTATTCCATTTTCAATACAGTAATTTTTTTTTTCAAATTTGTCTTGTATTATAGTAATTAATACATTTTGAAGAAAAATTCTGTTATTATTTTGATAATGAAAAATGTATACCTTTATACACAAATAAATGAGAAATATTTAGTTTTCATATTGTTTTCTAAGAAATTGGCCTTTCTGCACTAAGACAATAGTAAGTTAACATTAACAAACACATAATTGTAGAAAATGCAAAAAAAATATTATGAGGAAATTAGTTGGTTTTAAGATTTAAAGACTATCTACAATGATTTTTTATTCTACCTTATATTTCACGCATTTGGTTCCCCCCCCCCCCCCCCCCCCATCACGATATCTACACCACATATACACACACAATAGAAATAAACACTGTTTCGAAGAGGTTTATTGGGTAAATACAAGTTGTATACTATCAATTAAGCATACCTTTGTGTGCCAAGCCACTTTGAGTTCATAATTATGATGGATCTTGCTCTAAACTAAATGTCATTGAAGCGCACATTTTTTTTTTCTCATTTGAAATTGCTAAGAATGTTTTTCAATCAGCAAGAGATAATAACAAATTCTACTTTCAATTTTGGCAAATCTTTAATTTGTGATACATGAATAGGTACCTAACTACTAACATGTAGACCTTATTTTGTAATATCACAATTACATGTAAACACATTAGTGCAACTCCTTATGAAGGAGTAACAAGGCGCCGCTATTGTGACATCAAACACAGCTGCTCTGACGTCCAACGACATAGGTCCCTCCTTAATAGACCAACAAGTATATAATTATCCAAGCAAATATTCAATACTTATAAATTAATAAATTTTGCAAATTATCTACTTCTATAGTATATCTTCTTCTCCTAAACCAATTGCAGGATTTTAAACAAAGTATTTCTTCCTGCTATAAGCCTGTAATTAATTGTCAGTAGAAACTATGATATATTACTGGAATTATTCCATCAGCATTGGTAAAAATTCAATTTGCCTGCGTTTGCATGGGATTTCATCTAGTGTTTAAAAAAACAAGATAGAATCATGGCAATGAAAGCAATGGCTGTCTATTTCAGTGTAAATAATGTTGTGGGTTAGGATTTGAGTGACTGCATGCCACATTACATGAGTGGCCGTTTAATCCAGTTAAAATATATTGGAAAAATCATCGGGGGGATTTGAAAGTGGCTGTTGATTTCAATTGGCCGCTAAGACAGTTTTGACTGTATTTCAAATTCCCATATTTTTAATCAAGATTTTTGTGTTACCAAAAGCGTATCTCATTTGCAGCAGAAATATTTTTTCTCATATATCAACTGCAACAGACAAAAAAAACCTTACTTGTTCAAGCCAGGGTCATAGGATGTAATTTGCTATGTCTACATTCAGAACATGTGACAGCTATCCCATCTGCAACATCATCTCATGGGGCAGGCCCAGGTGTTGGAGTCCGTCTGAACAGGGGATGGAAACCCCCCAAGTCTACACCCATCAGATTTACCAAGGAAGCAGTTCCTGACAGAGAAGCTACTAAGCTAGAGAAGTTCCGATCTGTGCTGGCTGGTCCAAACACAGACCTGGGTAACTAGAACTATTTAAATCATCACTAGGGCAAAACAGATTATTTAAATATCTATTTAAATAAGGAAAGCCATTAACTTTCATATAAAACTCGAACTTTGAGTTTTCCATATGTAAGTCTTGAATGTCTGAAATTTATATAAAAGGAGAAAATAGATCATTTTATTTACATTACATTTATTTCAATTATTGGAATACTAAAAGATAATCCATTTTGCTATCATTAAAAAAATGAATATAAAAAGATTGTCATTTATCGTATTTTGTTTTATTTCCGAAGAGTCCTTTGGTTTCAGTGATTTTTTTCTACGCACTGGGAAAGTGTCCAGTACCGGTTCAATTGGGAAAAATAGCATTGAAATAGAACAAAGGAGAATTTTCTGTCATTTAAACAAATGAAACGTATTTTGCGTTTATTCCAACATCATTACCTATTACTCCGTGTTTTAAAGATAAACTACAAGTATTTATTGTTTTTCATATCAATGCCCCTTGTTTTAGCATTTTCATGCTTTCAATTTTTCAAAATGTATGACACTATGCAGTCTACACCACAGGTCCTGCCATATTACGACTAATCTCCACTTTCGATTTAAGCAGAAGTGAAACAATTAGTCAACTTGTACAATGTTTCATACAAAAAGAAATACGATGTCATCGTAGGCTGTTGCTTGTCACTGGAATTGGGAATTTTTAGTCTCAAAATTGGGAAAAATTAACGTTTTTTGGCATTGGGAATGGTACCGTTTATCGGTACCAGTTATATAAGGAAAAAAATCGCTGGGTTTCTATAATTTCATTTACAAACCAAGGCAAGATCAAGATAATATGTTTATATGAAAAAATATTCACTCACCCAATCGGACAAGTACATCAATAGTTTCACTTGCCAGAACTGAGATTTCACTTGCCCCAGGCAATCAGACATTTATTAATGTTGTCCCTGCGTTTAAAACACACTACTGACAAACAGAATGCCAGAGGAAGTATAAAATTCTTGTTCCATCCACAAACTTGCAATAGAGCATCAATTAAATGTAAAACTTGTCTTTATTGTTTATTATCATAGCAAAATCTGTAAGAGCATATTGAAATAAGGGAGTGTTCTGACTGTAATCGGTTACAGGCAGGGCAAAATTAAAATTTGTATTTTAAACTTATTGTTTTATTTTCATTTTAAACAAGAGGCCCAAAATTTACATGAGAATACTTTGAAAATCTTCTTCTCAAGAAAGCAGGGTCATAATTAGTCACTGTATTATACACAACCATTTTCAAGTAGTGTAATTTCAAGTTTGTTCAAATTATAACCCAGGGGTAGGGTACTCAAGATGACTCAGGTAAGCAGTTGGCCCATGGGCCTTTTGTTTTTAAAATGAAACTTAATACCTTTGTAATGAAATATCACTGTACCTCAGATCCCAAAATGTAGTTGTATTTGACATGTATTGAACATGTTTTAAGCTAGCTTCAAGAAAGAATTGCAGTTCATTATTTTTTTTCTAGATGAGTTAAGGAAACTTAGCTGGTCTGGAATACCAAAACTTGTACGAGCAACAGCCTGGAAAATTTTATCTGTAAGTACAGCCATAAGTGGAAGAATTTAGAATTTTCCAGACTCTCTCAGGATTAAGTAAGAGCAGTGAGATTTAATTTCTTTAGACTTGGAATTGGGACAGTTAGACTCACTGTAAAATGAAAAGATGATTGAAAGCAGCATATCTTCAGTATAACAGCGTACTTGTAATTAGTTCTTCACATTTAATTTATCAAACTTTATTTACTTCATTTTAAATGAAATCATATTTTTATATGCAACAAATTTTCCTAAAACATGTTTTTGCTTTTCTGTTTAACTGGATTAGATATAAGAATTTAGTAGAAAGCTTGCTGATTCACCTTTATCATTCACCATGATTACATTTTGACATTGTTGTCAAATTGATCAATTTTTAGTATCGAGTTACTCATCTGCCTTGCTGATTAAGTAATTCAAAATTTAAAACTTTTTAATAAGTACACTTAAGTATGATAAATATTTAGTTTTGATTTCATGGAACTTTGGAATGATTATCAAAATCCAACATAAATACATTTTCATGAATTTCAATATCATGATCTCAACCATTCATTATTGCCTGTAAAACTCTATCTGTCAACTACTTGTCCCAAAAAGTCATAGACAGGGTATATTATTTAGTTTTTCTTCGCTAATGTAATGTAACTAAAAACCTTTTTTGCTAGTAACTATGGAGAATATATAGTTTATTGAACTGTCTTTTTACAATCATGACGTGTCCATGACCATAAGCTAGACAATGCTTTGCTACTTACTGAGTTGCTAATGAATGCTAATGTTGTTAAATCCTTAATCCCTGCTAGGTAACTGACATAAAGAAATAGGAGCTTGGAAAGGTGAATGTGTTTGACAGAAATGAAAACATTGAAGAAATATTGCATGGTTTTATTTTTCCTAGTACTTAAATACTGATTTTAGCATTCAATACTCGTACCTTTTGATGAATACTCAGTAACCAGTTACTCATTAACAACCCTAATTTTGAGAGATATACACAGAAAGCAGATATTGTGTATGAGATTTCAGTTTTCAGGGTTATCTCCCTGCCTGTGTGGATAGAAGGGAGCCTACTCTACAGAGAAAACGCCATGAGTACTTTGGATTTATAGAGCAATATTATGACACACGGCATCAAGAGATTCATCAGGACACTTTCAGACAAGTAAGTTTCACTAAATAAAAGCCTTCATTGCTTTCTATGAACAGATAAAAAATTCTCCTTGTGAAAATGTGAAATACAGTTTGCACTATTCTCAATCAGATTGCTGAAAATTTTTAGAGTTCACTACTTTTAGAAAATGTTTCATCCTTTTGAGCACAGAATAGGTTGATCTATGCTGACTATAACCAGTCTAGCTAATCATTCATCATGTATATTCCACTGAAATCAAACCCTGAAAAAAGTATCTAGTATGCATATATATTGGAAAAGTAAGTGAGGATAGGAGTGTGCTCCATTCCTGTAACAACCTGACCTTTTGTTTGGCATGTGTTTCCAGCAACATTTAGGTCTTGGCACAGTAAGTAAATTCCAGTCATGCTTCTCTCTAATTCCTGCTGCTATTAATAGACTGTTCATAACATTGCTGCATTCCTTCATATTCTTTTACAATGAAATATACAATAAAACTTGTCTAATTTGGATGACATGTATTTCAAAATCTTGTGTATTACGATGTAAATTTCTAGTCTCTTTCATTAACTTAAAATTGTTTGAAATGTTTTTAATCAGGAAAGTTGTCTACTCCGACCAATTTCTATGTGGTGTCTCGATTAGACAAGTTATACTGTTACAGTAGTAATTTACCACTCAACACTGCCAATAAAATCAAACATACTTAATAAATCTCTAACTGTATGTATGAAAAATCATATAACCATAACTAAGATTATATGCTCAGTTCAACCAAGAACTTGAGTTTGTATTTCTGATGAAATATTTTACATATTTTATCTGTCAGGTATTTTAGCACAATTGTTATACCTTTAAAAATTGCTTCCTATATAAATCTGTACAAAAAAGTCTAACATTTCCAATGTTTTACTGCCTGACCGCAGAGTGAGATATTGGACCTGTCAATGAGATATTGGACAGCTTATATCACACTGTGAGCAGGATCAGCTAACTCTTATTTGCATTCATTCGACAGTGACAGAATTGATCCAGATTTACAGCGGTGTGGGTAAAAGGAATTTACGTTATGGAAGCTAGCACAAGATACGTTTGTCAAAAAAAAAAACCCATAAAATAAAAGGTATAACAAAACATTTATTGACTGGGTTCGAGAGCAAAATGCATTTTGTCGACCCCTTGAACCAAACTGTTTGCATTCGGCCTAATGGCCTCAGGCAAACAGTTTTGTTCTTGGATCTGACAAAAAATATTTAGCTCTTGAACCCAGTCAATAAATATATAATGTTTCATATCTCTCTCTATAATAGCATTAGAAAGATATTAATTTTTACCTACTCTTTATTTATCTAGCTAATTCTCTGTAATGGCTTTGTGTCCATCTACAAAAAAGGTTTACCTGATGTATTCCCTTTGAATCCCATAGAGGTGTTATCTTTTTCTCAGCTCACCTGAGCTGAATGCTCAAGTAAGCTTTTCTGAAAACATATCGTCTGTCATCTGTCTGGAAACTTTTCACATTTTTTAACTTCTTCTCCAGAACCACTGGGCTAATTTCAGCCAAACTTGCCACAAAGGATCCTTGGGTAAGGAGGATTCAAGTTTGCTCAAATAAAGGGCCACACCCTCTTTCAAGGGAAGATAATTAAGAATTAATTAAAATTTGGTGGCATTTAAAAATCTTCTCATGAATCATTTGACCAAAAAAGTTGATACTTAAACAAAACCTTTGTTACGTAGTGTAGATTCTTTAGAACGACAAAGCCAGGGTTAGAAACTCCCTAAAATTACAACTCGCAAATAATTGCGAGTACCAAGAAAGTGAACTCGCAATTTTATAAGACTACTCGCAATTTTCATATAAAGTTAAATTTAAATAAATTAAATACATGTACATGTAACTTAAGGAAAAAATAACTACTGTACAATACACAGAATACAACTACAGTGTGACTTTTATTTAAATTACTGATTTAAATCAAAAGCATCGTGTTCTGTCATATTATATAATTTTGCTACAGTTTCAATGCAAAAAAAATCAACTCGCAAGTTTTTGCGAGTTACCTAATTTTTAACTCGCAATATGGGAATTCTAACTCGCATTTTGCGAATTGTATATAGTGAATTTCGAACCCTGAAAGCCATGATAAGTCTTATTGAAAAGGAAGCATCCCCAAGTAGTGTAGATTCAAATTTGTTCAATTCATGACCCCTAGGGATAGGGTTGGGCCACAATGGGGGATCAGAGCTTTACATAGAAATATTATAGGAAAAAATCTTTTAATATCTTCTTAAGAACAGCAAAGCCATGATTAGTAAAATTTGAAATGGAAGCATCCTCAGGTTTTGTTTCTTTTGTGTTCGTTTATTGTTTAACGTCCCTCTCAAGAATTTTTCACTCATATGGATGCCACCACTTGCCGGTGGAGAGCTGCAAATTTTGACCTATGCTCGGCACTCAGGGTCATTGAGCAGTGAGGGATATTTTTTTTTTCTTGCCAGCACCTACTGCGACATGGGATCTCGGTTTATACGGTCTCATCCGAAGGACCGGTCTCCACGTCCCACAGTGGGATTCAAACCCACGACATAAGGATCAACTCCTTACTCCGCGACTCTAGAGCAAACGCTCAAACCACTGTACCACGCGGGCGAAGAAACATCCTCAGGTAGTGTAGATTCAAGTTTGTTCAAATCATGACCTCCGGGGATAGGTTTGGGCCACAATTGGGGATCAAAGTTTTACATAAAAATATATAGGAAAAAATCTGATGATGAAGAAAAGCAGGGCCATATTTACTCATGTGAGTGTTGTGGCCCATGGGCCTCTTGTTAGATTTTTCCCCCTTCCTACAAAGTTCAGATGGATTTATTATTTGCTAACCTGTTCATTGCCTACATAAACATGTTTTTTAGCTCACCTGAGCTGAAAGTTCAAGTGAGCTTATTTGATCAAAGAGGTTTCCATCTGTCTGTAAACTTTACACATTTTGGCTTCTCAATAAAAACCACTGCGTCTACACTAACCATAGCAGGCACATATCATCCTTGGATATAAAAGGGAATTTAAATTGTTCAAATGAAGAGCCCTTTTCCAAACGAAGAAATCAAGATAAGAAAAATTTAGGGTCAGTTCATTAAAAAATCTTCTTAAGAATCACAGCCAGTTAAGATGAAATTTTTGTGAAAGCTTCCTAGGTAGTATTCAAATCATGGTCCCTATGAGTAGGGTGGGGCCACAATAGGGGATCAATTTTTAGCTCACCTCAACGAAGTTGGGGGAGCTTATGTAATACCATCGGTGTTGGCGTCCCAGGTTAAAGTTTTTGGTGCAGTTTTCTTTTCAAGTACATCTGTGCCTTATATTAATCAAAGATGCATGGAGGATGCTTCTAGTATGTTTCATTGTACCAGTCAAGGTTTCAGATGCTGCAATTTCAGCTGAAGAATGACCAGGTTAATGTTTTTGGAGTAGGTTAAAGTTATTAGAGCAGATTAAGTTTTTGGAGCAGATACATCTAAGGATGCACACTACCAAGCTTGCTTCAGATGCTGGATCTGACCGACAATTTCCGGATGAGTGACCAGGTTAAAGTTTTTGGAGCAGGTCTCATTTCCAAGTAACTTTAAGCCCTTTGTTGACAAACTTGCATGGATGATACATTTAAAGATGCACACTATCTGGCTTGCTTCGGATGCTGTATCTGACCAACATTTCCAGATGAGTGACCAGGCTAAAGCAATCTAATTAAAATTAGATGTTCTGAATCTGCTACTGCTTCTCAAACATCTAACAACATCCCATTCGGGGTCATGTAAGAGCGACCTTTCAATAATGTACAATAATATATATTTGCTTTAATCAGAGCTTATAATTAGTTTGTTTACATATGTATGTACTACGTACAAACACTCTCCCAAAATCTTTTTAGTACATTACTGTGAAGACAATTGGACTAGAGATTCCCATATTTTTCAACAATACATTTAGATAAAACAGGCTTCTGGTTCTCTAGCTCTGTGTTTCTAATTTATATATTTACACAGCTGCTGGTTTGTAAATTCTCTCGGTTTTCAAATGTGATAATTTTGATATGTACATGAAAAGTGGGATGTTTGCTCACTATAATTTAACTATATGCATTGACTTCTGTATATAAAACATTTTGTTCATTAATTAGGAAATAAATCTAAAAGCCTTTATTTTCTGATGAACAAAATATTTAATGTAGTCAACTTAAACCTTCACCATGAGCTGCTATTTGGGGGTATCGCAGTGTGTCACAAAACGCATCTCATTTTGATTTGATCTTGATCCAAGAGCCCCTATACACTGCACACTAAAGAGTTCCAATTCCATGATATTTTGTTACAGTTAAGGACATACGCAAGGTACAGTGTACCTTACCTACTGATAATTTTTCAAGATATTCTTAATTTAAGATTATAGTGCCATCAGATGTTCATAGACAAAAAAAATCAGCATGCATTACCAGGGGTTTTGAAAAGATATCAATTGATGAAAATTCTTGTATAATTCAAACAAAAATACACAAAAATTACTCAACATATATTCTAGATGTTTTGTTTATCCAAATTTGTTTTAAAAGAAGTGTACAACAGCATATATAGACATTAAAATGTAGCACACAGTTCCTTTAAGTATTGGAACTCTTCAACTCCAGGGAAAAAGACAATAAAGTTCAAACTATGTTGCGTATGTCCTTATATATAAGGTGATCTGCCCTCAAATCTGAACTGAAATGAATTGAAATCTACTCTGTTTTAACCAATCTATAATCAAGCATTTTTGACTCTTTTTTTTTAAACCAAGATAGATTAATTAAAAAATTATGTGCATGTACCGTATAACGGGTATTTTCTGCGGTTGGAAATTTTTGCGATTTAACCCCTAAAAGATAGCAAATTAATTTCTGCGTTTTCAATTTCTGCAGTTGTACTATCCCGCAAAAATTTATTTACGGGGTATGCTCATGTACTAAACTTTATGAATTATCAGAACGCTGATATGTTTTATAAATTCATTAAGACATATTGATCAAAGGTGCATGAGAACTGGTATTAAGCTATTAAGCTTAATTAAACTACTATCTTTTAGTTAGTTTTTGTAAAAATATTTCGAGTACTAATTGAAATGAATTAATGCAGTGTCAGTCCATCCAAACAACAATACAAATCTTTATTCTAACAGACGTTTTATGCGATCTATTCAAATATATAGATAATGATAATAAATGCATCCAAGCCATATTCTAAAATACATTTCTAGATAACTGCCATCAAAATTAATTTGGTGTTTATATTTTAAGCTAAAACAAACAGTTGCATAATCTAGTACCCCAAAGTTGACGGTTAAAAATCACAGGTGTTATGTGCATGGAGGCATAACTAATCCTGTCAGTCGTATGCATTAGGTAAAATTCACGAGACAATCGAGCCACATTGTGTATACAAGCAGTAATTATTGTCTCCATATAAAACACAAGATTGAAAAAAAATGTTTAAAAAAGAAAAGCTACCATGTGTTGTTTGCAGCTATCGGAGTTTGGACTAATAATTGCGAAATAGTTACAAGAAAAGATGTTTTTGTATCAACTTATTTAATTGATATTATTTACAGGAAGGTTTTGATTCAATATGTTTTGGACAATCCTGACATCTAAAATCTTCAAATTTCGATGACACCCGTATTTTCTCGCTAATGAGGATGCACTCTCTACCATTGGCTCATACATTCACCTCTGTCATTGGCTCGCGTACATCACAGTGTTAAGCACAAGAAATAATACGTTTGTTTCAATTCATTATAATTAAATTCCTGCACTAATATTTGTCTTTTAATGTACATATTTAATAAGTAGATCTAAAACTATTAGTTTAGTTTGAATCAATCATTGGAATATCATGTTTTTTACCTTAAGTCAAAAATCTTGACGCAAGCCCATTGCAGAGGTGTCTGAGAGAGGAACGAACGACAACTCTGCAAGGGAGATTGACGAGGATGTGGCCACTCATGAGTCTGCGGACGCATCGATTTTTAAAAAAACCTTGCGTTCCAAATAATTTTGCTGTGTCCAGTACGCAGGTTCTTGCGTTAATGAGAACCCTGTCAGACATACGCACCACTTATCATAATTGCATGTACATAATATCTGAATGAATATTGAAAAATATTTTGCGATTGTAATTTTTGCAGATTTGTCCTATCCGCAAAATTCCGCAAAAATTGGACAACGGCAGAAAATACCCATTATACGGTATTTTCCCTCTTTAGTATTTGTGTTCTCCAGTACTTCTAAAAAAAATCCTGGAGATAAATGGCTGGTACTCTATTTTGAAAATGAAATGTATAAACTCAATATTTACACCTTTAATTTATTCAATATAATTCCTTAAATATCTAAAAGAAAATTTCTTTAGTGGAGGGTCCTTAAGTAATGACCAATGTGAAAGTATTGATGCAGTGAATCTGGACTTTCCCTGTTCAGATTTGAATTCCTAATGCCCAAGTTGTGGACTGGACATAGTTTTAATTTGAATTTTTATCTAAATTTAGGAACTGGGTCAAGATCTGAAAAAATTCACTCTTGAACTACTAAGAGTCAAGCTGCATTAATATGATAATGATCATAGGGTCCTTACGAAGTTGTAATATTTGTGTTATACAAGTCTAGAATTCCATTTCCAAGTACAGTCAGTCTGCTCTCTTTGTTCTACTTAGACCCTTAATTAACACCCACCCCACCCACCCATTCACCCAATGAAAGTAAGTGATTTCACAGTATGAAAATGAAAGTGTTTCCTTTCTTTTTTTCCCTAAGTACATGAAGTATAAATAAAAGTGAAACATTTCTACACAAATTGATAATCAAGTGTAGTTTTATTATAATAAATTACAGATTCATATAGACATTCCTCGAATGAATCCACTAGTGCCTATATTTCAACAAAAACTGGTACAGGAAGTGAGTAAATAATTGTGATTACCCAGCATGCCAAGTTGTCACCCAGCATTCTTAGACCACCTTTCCTAGAATGTGGATGGAGCTCTCTGGCTATTTTAAAAAACATTAACAAATACTTCTGCACACATGTCATATGATTAGCATCATCTAGTTAACAAGACTTGTGTAATAATATAAGGTTAATTTTAAATGTCTCTGTTTATAGTTTCAGCAGTATTTGTAAATGTTGTGTGGTGTTGTCAGTTGTGAAAAAAGCAAATAGGTTTTGTCAAGGTCTCCGAGCATAAGAGGGTACCTGAATACCTATGCCCCTATGTAGCTAGATGTAGATTTTGTGTTGTTGCTTTTGACAATGTACATGTAATTATTAATTTTCAGATTCTCAAAGACATCCCGAGAATGACTTCTCTAGCTCACCTTTTTCAACAAAAAGTTGTTCAAGAAGTAAGTACACATATTTGTTGAAGGTATTAACCCTGAGAAGAATTTATACAGGTAGTATTGTTCCTGGCATTGTGGTGGAAGTCTCATCAAAAAACAAATATTCACTAACAATAAAATTACTAAATTTGCTACTGTGGATTTAGAAATGTCTTTAGAATTCTGTAAATTCTGCTATAAAAGCAAACATGCAAAATCAACCTACAATCATTTTTCGGGATGCTCTTAGGGCTGGATGTCATGTATTGCTATATACTGCCATATTTAAAACCGTATTTGCAATATTTTTAATCAGAATGAAAATAATCTTTTCTTATTTTATCAATTTCCATTTATATGCAGAATGTACAGCATTATTTTTAATAAGAAAAAAAAAATCATTTTAATAAGAAAAAAAAAGTTTTTGTTGATTTAACTATAATTATGCACTAGCTGAAATGCATCCAAACTTCAGCATTTTCCTTATTATTTAATTGGCACACATGTTTCTGACACCTTAAACTTTATATTTTATTGTTGGAATCCTGAACTAGTAACTTAATTCCGAGCCCAAACATTTTGCTGATATATTGATGCTGAAAAACGTATCACAATAGTTATATTATTTGTCAATGAACCATAATACAATGGAATATCATTATCACTGTGCAGCCCTAGATGCTATCATGTATACTCATATACTTAGTATATGTAAATATGTTTCTTAATAAAAAAAAAAGGGGGGGGACCCACAAAAATCTGACAGAATTTTTGCCACATTAAATGCAGTATGATTTGTTTAATCTGGATTCTAAGTACTCCAGAGGTTTAGTCCCATATGCTCTTAAATAAATGTGATGTGAAAATTTCTGTGTAGTTCAAGTACTGTGCAACTGTTTATATAAAGGCCACATAAATTTAGAATTTAGATTTTCATCCTAATTTGCTTAAAAATTGGGGCAGATGGGCGGATTTTAGTTTTCATTATTGAAAATATCTACATAACGCTTTTTCACATTGTTAATGCCAATAAAGATATTGTTTTTCTTTTAAATATCTATAGATTGAAGATTCTTCTTATAGAAAATGATTACAGTGTTTATAAATTTTCAAGTACACATGTGCGGCACACTCCACACAACTGCTGCTATGAAACTGGGCGGGGATCCTAATAAATTTCACTTGCTGTTGCTGTACATGGTAGTCACCACTTCTCATTGGCCTTTCTCCAAATACCTTTTAGTTTGACCAACAACTTCTTTTATTTTGTGTGAAAATATCACAGATATTTACTGTCCTTGTATACATTCGTTCTTAAGACTTGATATGTTCGATATTGTCATTTTTGCAAAACAGGATGTCTAAAATATTCTATTGAAAAGCCTTTGCTGATGCTGAACAATTTTAAGATTTACCAATTTATTAGCACTATTATCTTCTAAAGTCTGCAGACAATCTTTTTTAAATACAAAATAACATACAACTGCCAATCGTTAACATTACCAGATGTAATTTTCTTCATCTGTGTTTACTTTGTACAAAATCTCTTTAAAAACTTGCTGATGCCAGTGATTGTATCTATAGACGTATCAAAATTTAATATTTAATTATTTTTGCTTTTTCTGCCTTCTCTATACTGGCATATCTATATCTCTCCTACATTTCTTGCCAATTTTTCTCCATTCTTCACATGGGCTCTTGTGCTATAAAAAGCACCATGTTAATACAAACTGAGATAACTCTTAATCTTTCAGTCTTAACCAGCTGCTTACTGAGTAAAACATAATACATGTAAATACTTGTGATACCAAAAAACCAAAATAAAATAAAGATACAATAGGGTGGAACACTTTGAGAGGGTTTTTTTCAAAGTCTCAAACTTAGTGAATGAAAAAAGAAAAATTGACAGTAGGTCATATATGTACTCTTGATTGATATTTGGATTTCAAGAATGTGGAATAATTTTTAACTTCATTTAATACATGTAATATTATTTTCCCAACATATGCATCATACTTGTGAATTAAAAAAAGGAAAATAAATCTCTATCATTTTCCTGCATTTTTCCTGCACTTCTGTCTAATTCGGACAATTTTCATGGAACTGGTTGTATCCAGTTTGGACAAATTTCACTGGACATTCCAATTTGATATCTCCTTGCAGTCAGTTCAAGGGAAGGTATCAACTTCATTACATATTTATCATCAATTTCATGACCTGCTGCTCAATTAAATCACAAGTACATACCAGTAACTTACTTTGTTGGGTTTGTTGTTTGTGTGTAAATTAGTAAAATGCTTTGTGGTCAATACCTATGTTTGATGTTGATGGATCCCTTGTTGTTTGCATGTATTACATGGTAATAATCTCACAGAACACAAAGAACTTTGTTAAAATTGAAGAATTTTTTAAATTGTTTCCAGCTCATAACAAAGAAAAGAAAACAAAAACGGTGTAGAGTTTGTGTGATACTTTTATACTGTATATATATTTTAGATATTTGAGCGCATCCTGTACATCTGGGCCATAAGACATCCTGCCAGTGGCTATGTGCAGGGAATCAACGATTTGGTCACTCCATTCTTTGTTGTGTTTCTCTCAGAGTTTATAGATAATGGTAAGTAATACTACGTTTACACCTAGTTGTGGCATGTCCTGATAACACCACTGAAGTATTGTGTTTATTTGCAGTATAGGTTGAGACCAATTTCAGTATTTAAAATTCCTGATTTCCTATGGTGCAAATGCAATATGTATATGGCATGCATTCTAATTCATGTTGGATGAGGCAAAAATGTCAGTAAAATGGATACAATTGAATTGATACCATGATTGTAAATATAACATGCCCTACCTTTTAAATAACTTAAGCCTTTTCTAATTAAGTTTGTCTATCATCTGTTAATCTGTTTGCTGACTTTGTTTTTCATTTCTTACTTCTTCTCTAGAACCACTGGGCCAATTTAAATTAAACTCTTTGGGAAATGGGGATTAAAGTTGTTCAACATTTTTAAGGTTCTTAAAAATCAAAGGTGATGTAAGGAAGAAAATGTGCCAAAGGTAAATTAATACCCCCCCCCCCCCCCTCAAAGGGATTTCCTTCAGCAACAACAAAATTTTGCAAGTTTGCATCAAGAACAATTGCAAATACATATGTACAATCCAACTTAAAAAAAATCCCCCCTCCAAAGGGACTTCCTTCAACAACAATAAACCTTTGTAAATGAACATTAAGAAAAAACTACAAATACATAAGGGGTGTGCAATTCAAAACTTCAAGGACTAACCCACAGGCTAGAGGACTTCTGCAAGAAGGGCTTCCTTTGACATTAAACAGCTAACTTGGATGTTTAAATGACTCATAAACTCTTTCAAACTTGCTATAGATGCTGGATTTGACTTGCATTGAATTTTCTTGATGAGTGAGTAGTTTAATGACTCAAGTAGAAATTGTGTCCCACTCATGAAATAAATTCCATACCAACTACAAAACATTAAATATCCTTTATTTAAAAAACTTCAATGACGTCACCCATTGTTATTAGTCTATGTATATTTTACCGATTCAACCATCACTAGTTGGATATTTAAAGATCCAACTGGCCATCAGTTGGATATTCAAATATCCAACTGCCTATCAGTTGGATATTTAAATATCCAACTGTGCATACAAACATAATTAAGCAATGAATGAAAGAGATAAGAGTTTAATGCACATAAAAAATAATTACTCCGAATTTGTCACACTATTAGAATTTATGTCCAATGCACACAGAATTCATCACTTCGCATTTTTCACACCATTAGAATTGTGTTCAAAATGTACTTCCAATGCTCAAAAAATTTACAATTCCTCCGAATTTTGCACATTATTCAACTCTTTTTGTCAATGAAATATCCAATACTTATCCGATGGTATTTTAACAGAATGTTTCCAGCTTAAATTTTAAAAGCATCACATTTTGACACGCTTATAAATACAGTAAAACTTGCCAAATTCTGATGTTTTGCATTCCGGCATGTTGTTCAGTCCGGCATAATATTTCAGTTCCTTAATTTTCTTTACAATTTATGTTTAAGACGTTGTGCATTCCAGATCTTGCCTACTCTGTAAACCGGCTGCTATTTAAGGTAGTCAAATCCTCAGGTTCTGAAAATCAGCTTTTAAATGAAAATGCTCACAAAAATGTCTCTGATTTCACATAGTAACGTGAATTTACCCATGGAATTTCTTCAAAGTTCATCATTATAGTCAATCATATTATAAAGGGAAAATTATCATATCTCAAATATATTTTCAGGAAATGCGAATAAAAACATCAGCTATACATTTTCTAATTGAAAATCGATCAACAAATATAATTTAGGATAGAAAGATATAGGTATCCAGTCATATGAAGAAAATTGCATCTTTTTTATGCTTGTACAGTATTTTAGTTCTTCTTTTTACTGCAATTTCATATAATACACAGTGTAAAAAGCTTGTGCTATCATTGCTAGACATCACATATCACATCTAATTTCATATCATGCTAATAAGCAGTGGTATCTAATTCTAGACTAAAGGAAATTCGATTTCTCTAAAATTGATTTCATTTTTTAGGTCACCTAAGTCACTCAGGTGACCAATTGCTATCTGTTTTTGTCCGTCGTGCTTCGACGAGCGTCGTCCATTGTGTGTTAACTTTTGAACATTTTCCACTTCTTCTCTAGAACTGCTAAACCAATTTCAACCAAGTTTGGCATATAACATCTTTTGGTGAAGGGGAACAGATATCGTAAATTTCTTGGTCCCTACCCTCCTGGGGCCCCAGGGGTGGGGCTAAAACCACCAAAATTGATGCAATCTTTTAAAAAAAATTTTCTTTACTACTGGACATCAAGCAGTCAAACTGTTGGCATGATTGTAATAAGCATTTGGCCCTCTACCAAAATTGTGAAATTCATGGCCCCAGGGTCAGTGGTTCTAGTGCTATTGTGGGGCTAAATTGATCATATAGTGAAAGTGCATTATTTCTTTGAAAATCTTCTTCTAATCTTCTTGGTATTAATTAAACAAACTAGGTAATTGGTTATGATAAGCAATGATGCCTTTCCCAAAATTGTGAATTTCATGGCCCTTGGGTCAGGGGTTCTGGTGTTAGGGTGGGGCTCTATTGATTATATACTGAAAATGCATTAATTCTTTGAAAATCTTCTCTGCTCCTGGATATTATTTAAATAAACTAAGTGCATGGTTATGATAAACATTGATGCATTTTCCAAAATTGTGAATTTCATGGCCCCAGGGTCAGGGGTTCTGGTGTTAGGGCGAGGCTCTATTGATTATATAGTGAAAATGCATTAATTCTTTGAAAATCTTCTTCTCTGCTCCTGGGTATTATTTAAACAAACTAATTGCATGGCCATGATAAGCAATGATGCCTTTCCCAAAATTGTGAATTTCATGGCCCCTGGGTCAGGGGTCCTGGTGTGAGGGTGGGGCTCTATTGATTATATAATGAAAATGCATTAATTTTTTGAAAATCTTCTCTGCTCCTGGGTATTATTTAAAGAAGCCAAGTGCATGGTTATGATGCACAAGGATGCTTTTTTTTCAAAATTGTGAAATTCATGGCCCCAGCTATATTGATAATAAAGTGAAAATGTGTTAATTACTTGAAAATCTTCAACTTAGTGCATAGTTGTGAATTTCATGACCCTGGGACATGGGTTTTAGTGTTAGGGAATCTGTAGAGAAAATGCATTATTTCTTTGAAAATCTTCTCTGCTCCTTGGCATATCGAAGGCAATCAGAATAAAAGTTTTAATAAGCAAGGATATTGAACATCAGGACCATTTGGTCAAGTGTTCTGGTCCTGGCCAGGGCTCTATTAATTTGTATTCAACTGAGAGAAGCTAATCCCCTTTGCCATTCACTTTTGATAATTAATCACTGTTAGTAAATAATGTATTTGAAAGTTAATAGAATAAGAGAATTATGCAAAATATTTTAGTGTATAATGCAAAAGTACTTTCATAGTTTTAATGATCAGGTAGACTTGTAAATAATAAATAAATGAAAATGAGAAAAATAAATTATAAATGTTCTTCAAAGACCAAGAAAGGCCAATGTGAGAGGTTATAATATGGGGTTAAAACTATACAGAAGAACTAAAAGTTTGTTAATAGTTTGCATGGTGATAGTGATAAATGGGGGATAGATTAGAATTTAATTTATGAGTTTTTACTGAATACTAAACTAATTAATTTCATTGATCCTGATCATCTTATTTTCCTTGCTTTTGAGCAACAAAGCTTCATCTATCAGTTTACTTTATACTCTATGGATCCTCTAAATTGTTGTATTATACTCAGGTGACCGTTAAGGCCCTTGGGCCTCTTGTTTCTTTTATGGGGTACAAATGTCAACTTTTTATAAGACCATTTCTAAGACTTCAAAGAACATTTAATCATATTGAGATGCATAAAATGAAAATTGTTGCGCAAAAAGATTTCAATTTCAAGCTTCATTTTGAGACTTTTTAAATAAAATAATAAATTTAAGAGTTATCCTTCCTGGCTAAGGATCGGATATCCTTAAAGAACCGACTGCTCATATTTAATACAAATTATTTCCTCTAATCTGTCCACTTATTTTAACCTGTGCCCGCCGGTTATTAGAGAGGTCTTGCATGGGGTAATTATTGTCCCATTTAAGATGTATCCTGTATCAACAGTTTTAATTTTGACAAATGTGATAATCACTAATACCTCAAGTTAACATACATATTTCATTCTGTTTTTGCATTAATTTACGATCATGGCAATGTCTCGGAAAAGACCACTAAATTTTACAGAATCTCAATAAAAAAAAAATGAACCAGAAATAATCTAACACTGCAGGATAGAACTGATTTAATTGAAGATGTTGAGAGAAAACCCTAAAATTACCCAGTTTGAACTTAGTAAAAAATATGTAATTGGAGCAACGACTGTGAGTGACATTTTAAAACGGCGAGAATTTTATCGTGGAGATTAGAGGAGTCTGTGTGGAAAAAAGGAGATGATTTAATTGTGGGTCAAAATATTCAATGTTTTAAGTGATTTGAACAGGCCAGTTTAAAAAATTTGCGTATTAATGGCCCGATATTACAAGAAAAGGCTTTAGAGTTTGCAAAAGAGATTTTCCCGACTTCAAAGCCTCAACCAGCTGATTAAACAGTATCAAAATGTGTTTTTGGTCACTTCAAAATACGATGATGTTTTAGAATGTGTTCTAAAAATTGAACGATTTGTGAATTTGAATGACCAAAACGTATTACAATCTGTTATTGAATTAAAAATTTTGACAGAAATAAAAATTTTCAAGAACAGTGTTCAAAACAAACAAAAAATAGACAATTTTTTCAAAAAGTGAAACGTATTAAATGACACATTTGATCAAATATTTTTTTACCACTCTTTGTTCATATCTATGTACCTTAAAATGTAAAATAAAGAGTGTGTTTGTGTGTGTGTTTGTTTTTTTTTTATTTTTAGATATCATTAAGAAATAAACAGCTGGCTTTACAGGTTATTGCCCAATACATTGTATATAATCAGTGCAAAGGCATTATGCATTGCTGATAATGAAGT